TATACTCGGTCAATTGGTAGATTTGATATCTTTGAACCGTCGAACTTTGGTGTATACCTAGACAACCATAAGTCACACAACCAACCCTTAAGCGTCTTTGGTTCTCATTGTTGTGTTTGTTTCAGCCATGAACACCGCCTAGTTTTATAAGTGCGTAGAGAACTGGCCTTACAAAGTTCTCCTTGAAGCGGCTAACACTTTACATTTACATAGGTGATTCCTAAACGTGTCATCCCCTAGATACACTATTTGATATACCCCGTATCAAATTTAGAAATCATTAAAAAGCCTTAATGCTTTATCCTTGGTACTGAACATCGTCTCATCACGAGAATGGACCAAAAGTTTAGTTGACAATGTTGAACCGTCATTAATGACTTTGTTTGATCTCCTTGAACCTAGATCTTGGGATCTCCAGTCTTCTAGGTAGAGTTACCGCCACAATGACTTGTTCTCGGCCATAGTCCCATTCCCCTTGATGATTTCTCAACTACCTCTCTAGTTAGGCTTTTTGTAAGTGAATCCGACACATTATCACTTGACTTTACATAGTCAATCGTGATAACTCCTCTAGAGAGTAATTGCCTAACGATTTTATGTCTTCGTCGTATGACGAGATTTACCGTTATACATAACGCTCCCAGCCCTTCCAATTGCCGCTTGACTATCGCAATGTATGCATATTGGTGCCAATGGTTTGGGCCAAAGTGGAATGTCTTCCATGAAATTCCGGAGCCATTCAGCTTCTTCACCGGCTTTATCTAAGGCTGTGAACTCAGCTTCCATTGTAGAGCGGGCAATACAAGTTTGTTTGGACGACTTTCAAGATACCGCTCCTCCACCAATAGTGAATACATATCCACTTGTGGACTTAGAATCAGCTGAACCGGGGATCCAATTTCCATCACAGTATCCCTCAATCACCGAGGATATTTACTGTAGTGCAAAGCAAAGCCCTGGGTATGTTCTAAATATCCCAAAACTCGTTTCATTGCCATCCAATGAGATTGACCTGGATTGCTCGTGTATCGACTCAATTTACTTATAGCACAAGCTATATCTGGTCGTGTACAATTCATGATGTACATTAAGCATCCCAACACACGAGCATAATCCAATTGTGATATGCTTTGGCCTTTGTTCTTTGCTAATGCAAGATTCACGTCATTTGGAGTCTTTCCAACTTTAAACCCTAAGTGCTTGAATTTTTCAAGTACTGTCTTAATATAATGAGATTGTGACAATGCCAGACCTTGAGGAGTCTTATGGATCTTAATTCCCAGAATTAACTCACCAACTCCCAAGTCCTTCATATCAAACTTGCTAGTTAGCATACGCTTAGTAGCATTTATGTTGGCAATATCATTACTCATTATCAGCATATCGTCCACATATAAACAAACAATGACTATGTGATTTGGAACATTTTTAATGTACACACATTTATCATATTCATTTATCTTAAAACCATTTGACAACATTATTTGGTCAAATTTCGCATGCCATTGTTTGGGTGCTTGTTTTAGTCCGTAAAAGGACTTAACAAGTCTGCAGACCTTCTTTTCTTTACCTGGAACCACAAACCCTTCAGGTTGTTCCATGTAGATTTCTTCCTCCAAATCTCCATTCAAGAAGGCCGTCTTAACGTCCATTTGATGAATTTCAAGACCATACACCGCAGCTAATACTACTAACATCCGTATGGACGTAATTCTTGTAACTGGAGGGTATGTGTCAAAGTAGTCAAGACCTTCTCGTTGTCTATACCCTTTGACTACAAGTTTTGCCTGAAATTTATCAATAGTGCCATCATCCTTCATTTTCCTCTTAAAGATCCATTTAGAACCCAAAGGTTTATTTCCAGGAGGAAGATCAACCAATTCCCATGTATGGTAGTTCAATATGGATTCTATTTCACTATTGACTGCCTCTTTCCAAAACAAGGATTCCGAAGAAGACAGCTTCTTTAAATGTTCGAGGCTCATTTTCCAACAAGAAAGTCACAAAATCTGGTCCAAATGAAGTAAACGTTCTTTGACGTTACTACGGCTTGGATCCTCCTGATTAAATGTACTTTCTTTTTTTTCTTCCCGAGGTCGTTTAGATCCTTCACCAATCGACCCTTTTTATACGGATATATATTTTCAAAGAACTCAGCATTATCTCATTCTATAACCGTATTATTATGAATGTCGGGATTTTCTGATTTATGAACCAGAAATCGATATGCTTTACTATTGGTCGCATATCCTATGAAAACACAATCAACGGTTTCCGGTCCTATTTTTACCCTTTTGGTTTAGGAACTTGTACTTTTGCCAAACACCCCCACACTTTAAAATAATTCAAGTTGGGCTTCCTTTCCATTTTTCATATGGAATGGATTGTGTTTTTCTATGGGGTACTCGATTTAGTATTCGGTTAGCTGTAAGAACAACTTCCCCCCACAAGTTCTTTGGCGAACCAGAACTTATCAATAGTGCGTTCATTATCTCCTTTAATGAACGATTCTTTCTTTCTGCAATCCCATTGGAGTGGGGCGTGTAAGGGGCCGTTGTTTGATGAATAATTCCATATTCTAAACATATTTATTCAAAAGGGGATACATATTCACCACCCCTATCACTTCTTATCATTTTGATTTTCTTGTTAAGTTGCGTTTCAACTTCATTTTTGTATTGCTTGAATGCGTCTATTGCTTCATCTTTACTATTAAGTAAGTAAATATAGCAATATCTAGTACTATCGTCAATAAAAGTTATGAAATACTTCTTTCCACCGCGAGATGGTATTGACTTCATATCGCAAATATCTGTGTGAATTAAGTCTAAAGGATCTGAATTCCTTTCAACTGACTTATAAGGATGTTTAACATACTTAGATTCCACACATATTTGACATTTTGATTTATCGCACTCAAACTTAGGCAATACTACCAAGTTAATCATTTTCCGCAAGGTTTTATAAGTGACATGACCCAAACGTATATGCCATAATTCATTTGACTCAAGTAAGTAAGACGAAACTGAATTTTTATTATTATTTTCAACAACCATTACATTCATCTTGAAAAGGCCCTTAGTGAGGTAACCTTTTCCTACAAACATTTCGTTCTTACTTATTACAACCTTATCGGAAACAAAAATACATTTAAAATCATTCTTAACAAGAAGTCCAGGGAGGAAACTTAAAATTTCACTTAAAATTTTTATTTCCCTCCATTTCCCATTCACCCTCTTTTAAGCCATATTAAATGCTTAAAACCCAACAACCACCATCATATGTATTATCTTCTTTTGCATATGATTGCTTGTGGATTATGAATTAGAGAAAGTGAATTTATGTACAAGGTTTCGCTTTAATAATATTATCTTATCTACCTAAATATTAAGAAGATACACATAACAATTATAACAATAACAGTCTACATTTCATCAAGTTAGGTATGTAACTACCAATGTTGGACTATTAATCTGATAACATGTTTGATCAAGTTTCTAAAATCTGTTTATTTAAAAAGTATTTTTCTAAAGTAATTTTAGAGAGGAGTAGTTTGTGTTTGGCTAATCAATTTGAAAAGTAACTGTATACGGGTCAAACCGAGCTCGCCGAACACCCCTGTTTCTCGGTGAGGCAAGCGAAGCTGGGATCTGATCGTAAGGAATCAGAATCAGAGCGAGGAGCCCCTCGTATCGAGGCTCGGGCAAAACACATTCCCTCGGGGACATCGGGGACACGTCCTCCGGTTTAGGTTCGAGCCACAAGACCTTGGAGAGCATTACCAAACAACCACACTCGACTAACAAAGGGCCGTGATGTCCGCGCCCAACCGGATATCACAGCGTGAATCTCGTCCGTATCAGCAGAAAATCAATGATGAGCGAAGAGGAAGATTTTTACCTTTCTTAGAATTGTACTTAGAATAAAACTCCCCTGCTATATAAAGGAAAAAAATATTATTCATTAGGGGTAGTGTAATACGAATATCAAGGCAATATACTTCTATTTCTGAAAGCTATTCAAAGTTCTTGCTATTATTCATAAGTTCTTCACAGGTACAAGCTCGGAACCAAAGGCAGGTCCCTCATTAAGCCTTTAACCGAGATCTGATTCATTCTTATCATTAGTTTGGTCATTTGTCACTTCTTTTATTTGCTTAATCTAACGTCATTGATCACTTGTATTGAATTAACCTACATATCCTTAAAACTACGTATAAATTTAATTGTTATCCGTTTTTAAGGGTAAATAATAATATTTAAGCAAAAATTAGTGTGTGGCCAAACTTTTAAAAGTACTTTTGAGTCTATTTTCTTAACGAGGATTATCAAAAGAGCTTCTACTTTTGATGAAAAACTACATTTTTCAACTTTTTCAAAAGCACTTTAGTGCCCGTTTGGACATAAAATTTGATGGAAGATTTTTCCAAAAAAAATTTACTTTTTTTCAAAATCAGTATTTATTCATAAAATTTCCAATTTTCACTTGAAGATGCATTTTAGAAATTTTCGAAAATTTGAAAAACTGTAAAAAGCTGTTTTTCAAAATTTTCACTCAAATCACTTACAAAACTTCAAAAACAACCCAAACTGAAATTTATGTCCAAACACAATTCTAAATTTCAAATACCATTTTCACTTGAAAATCTTTTTCGCTATTTTTTCGAATTTTACAATTCTTATGTCCAAACGCCTACTAAATGCTGACTTTAATGTGGTGTTCAATTTAAACTTTTAATAAACTAAGAATATATATCACTTTATCACGAGTGTTTGAATAATTGGTTCAAGTTTGAAAAATAGTAATAATATTAATATTTAGATGTTAGACATATTCACTGGAATTTTTTTTAGATCTTTTAGTATAAATCAGATTTCATTAAAAATGCTACTGAAATTAATTTTTCAAATTTCAAAATCTCTTTAAATGATAGATCAAATTGTACAATAAACAATTATTTGAAAAACAAATTTCAAATATTTGAGTATCATACTCATGTCTAAACGTTATGTACTGGGAATTTAGGACAGGGAAGCGTCGTGTTTCATTCATCAAAAACCTTCCCCCCCTCTTTCACCTCTGCACAAATTTCTCACCTCTCCATTTCAACAAAAAACCTCCGCCCTTTCATCAATCAATGGCAGGACGCAAACGAGGAAGAAAGCCCAAATCAGATCCCCTTTCACCAGAAGCAGACATCCCAACATCAACTTCACCCCACATTGACGACGACGACGACGTCGTTTTCTCCGTCAGCAATGTTGAGCTCATCGACCCACCTCCTTCCACTTCCCGTCCCCGCCGTGGTCGGCCCCGCAAAATCCTTAAATTACCCGAAAACTCTAACCCTGAAAATGGAAAAACCCTAAAAAAAGCAACACGACGCGTGATTGATAAACCCAACGGGGTAGGGGTAGCCTCTCTTGAGGGTACTACTGTAAATAATGCGGATGTTGCTAGGGTGGTGCCGGCGATGGATGCTGTAGTGAAGGTGTTTTGCGTTCACACAGAACCGAATTATTCACTACCGTGGCAGCGGAAGCGACAATACAGTTCGAGCAGTAGTGGATTTGTTATCAAAGGAAGAAGGGTTCTGACAAATGCACACTCTGTGGAGCATTACACGCAGGTTAAGTTGAAGAAGAGAGGGTCCGACACCAAGTATGTTGCCACTGTGCTTGCTATTGGGACTGAATGTGATATTGGTGAGGCTTTTTCTTTTTCATTTGAATCTTAACTATTGTGTTATATGGAATTTAGAATTCGAATCATATGTTTTTCTCCCTTTGTATGTTATGCATGGAGTTAGGGTGTAACATTGGTGTATATGCTCCATCCGTCCCAGTTTATATGTAATGTTTGATTGAGCTCAAAGTTTAACAAATTAAAGAAGACTCTTGACATGTACCAAATTTATTCCTCTAAATGAGTTGTGATGAGAAACTACATGTTTTTTCATTTCTCCCCTCTTCATAAAAGAATGAACTTCTATATCAAGTGGATCTCAGCAAGTCACCTTTTTGAGGTTAAAATGAGGATGCTAAGATTAAATAGTTTTCAAAAGTAGAAATGTATCTTTTTTTGGCACAGACTGAAAAGAAAAGTGTGTTACATAGAATGGGATAGCGGGAGATTATACTAGTGATGGTTGAAGAAAATATTAGAGTAATGGTTGAAAAGTTATTTTGACTAACAGATGTTTTGAAGGAAACTCTACTCCTATTCATCTTCTGAAATTTAGACTTTATCTAGCAGCTTCTGGTAGTGGTTCATTCTTGTCAACAGTCTTTGACACTGTTAATTTGGATTTTCTGATGCTGCAGCTTTGCTTACCGTGGATGATGATGAGTTCTGGGAGGGAGTCTCAGCTGTAGAATTTGGGGATTTGCCAGCGCTTCAAGATGCTGTGACAGTAGTAGGTTATCCAATTGGGGGTGACACAATCTCCGTGACCAGTGGTGTTGTTTCACGCATAGAGATATTATCTTATGTTCATGGGTCTACTGAACTTTTGGGCCTCCAGGTATTCACTTTTCACTGATGGAATGTTCGAATGTTCTTTTCTTATTTGATGATCTAATTGCTCTGGTATCTGACAAATGTTGTTAGTTTACAGATTGATGCAGCTATAAATTCTGGAAATTCTGGTGGGCCTGCTTTTAATGATAAAGGAAATTGTGTAGGTATCGCATTTCAGTCTCTTAAACATGAAGATGTGGAGAACATTGGTTATGTCATCCCAACACCTGTAATCATGCACTTCATTCAAGACTATGAGAAGAATGGAGCATATACTGGTAAGGCTATTGGAACTTGTAGTTTTTTTTTTCAATAAAAAAAGGGCTTATATTGTGCTTGGTGTTTGTCAAGAGTCTTTTGCTCTTGTAAGATACTTGTTGCTCTTGCTGAGATAATTGTGGGATTTAGAAACATCAAGTTTTAGGGAACTCCTTGATTTGCCTTTATAAGATAAATAATATAGTATTCTTCATCAAAAGATAAATAATATGGTATTGTAGTGAAATGGACCCGATAGAGTGGACTGGATATAAATGATCCATGTGACCAATTTCAGCTGCTTTTGTTGAGGTGTAGTTAATTGATACAGATTATGGGGTCTCTGGGGTCTCTGGGAAATGATTTGTGCCCAATTTTCTTTGATAAAGTTATAATTTTACTACTAATTTTTTTTGCTTATATATATAAAAAAATACTTACAGTGTACAAATTGTAACAAAATTAGAGAACATACATGTTTTGATGTATCTCTACCACCTTTTGTATACCACTTCTATACTGGAGTTTTCTCAACTTTATCAATGAATCCATTACTTTATTTGAAAAAAGGAGTAAAGAACCTACTCAAAGATATGGTTCTTTAGAAATTACAAATGAGCTATATAACAGTAGCCTCGTGCATCAACGAAAGCTTCTCATTCGTACAAAATCATTTTGCACATTTACAAAAAGTCACGTGTTCCTTTCCCTCTAGAGAACCACATGATATCCAAAGGGGATATATTCCATGCTATACAACTTTTTCACCTTGTTGACAGTAGCAGGCAATCAGACATTGACGACACTATTCCAAACAGATTCAATACCTTTCATCACAATTCACGACTAGCAACTTTGTAGTGTGAACAAGTGGTCCACGTTTTCCTTCAAGTGTTTGCTCATTGAACACCAGCTAATATATGTGATCTTTTCTTTCCTCAAAATATCAGCTGTAAGAATGGCACAAAGTGCTGGCAGTCTAATGAGAACGTGTACCTTTCCGACAGTTTTGGTAATTCATACTCAGAGGTATGGAACACTGTATCCTCTCTCCTTCATAATACGTGGTTAAGGATTTCACTGCAAATATTTCACTTTCACCTCCCATTCCTTTTCCAAGAGTCCTGGTCCGACTGTGTGATGTTCTGTTTGTAAAGAAATTCCATGAGGTTTTTGAACCCTTATATCACCCAATCTGTAGGTTTATCCCGAATCTCATATAATTTGTCGTATGGACACTGACTAGGCTATGATCTAACTGAGTTTTTTCAGTTGATTCTCTTGGTTGCTAAGAGGTCAGAATTCTCAAGCTCTTTTTAGTTTTGCTTTAATCTTCTGATATTATTGGGGTTAACAATTTGAGATCAGTGGATGCAACTTCCCTTTTTTCTTGGAGTATGTCTTGTAGTTAATTCTACTCCTAAATTGTGCTACTAATGTAGCTCAAAAAAGTATAATCTCATGTTAGTGCTTTGAAGTTTATGCCAATATAGCTGTTAAAATGGTGTCTTCCAAATGACCGACAATTTTGTATTGGTAAATATCCTCTTGTGTTGGTGGATTACTGTTAATTTTATTGCACATCAGAGTGTTCAATTGATCTTCAGAAAGGTCTTTTGCCATTTTTATCTTTCTAAGATACTGATAAATGGTTGACATTATTATTGAATACTGGCACTTGCAGGTGCTCATGGATACATTTGTGGTGCACGTAGTTCCTAGACCTTTTCTCTAGATGATACCTTTCTCGGCCTTTTGGCTAAGATCAAGTGTAGTATCTGTTCTTATCAGTTTAATATCTGATATGTGGGCCATCAGCTCATACGATATTAACTCAATTTTCTCTAGATTTTCTTTTTACTATCTTATTCATGCTGGAATTCATCCGACATCAGTGTTCAACCTCTGAACATGCAAATGTAAACTTTGCTGATGGGTGACAGAAGTGTCAGATCAAATTTCCCTAGTATTGGATTAAAAAAAGAAGCTAAATGTTATGGAAGAAATATTAGAAGCTACAAGTTTGTAGTCTACTAGTTGTCATGTCTTGCATTTCTCGAGTAATTTCAAATATTCAATAAGGTGCATGTGTCTGTGCATTTGAGCTACACTAATTTTAGATTTATACACTAGGGGCTTCTTTTTATAACCAGAAATTACAGTTTTCTTTATCATCACAATTCTACCATAACTTCGAAAATTTCCTGAATTGTGGATCTTGTGGGAGATTTTTACATGTCTTCTTGGACAGGAGAGAAATTTAAGATTATATTTAGGTGGGGTTAGAAGTTGCTTTGAAGTTGAACTGATGTTTCCTGAGTGTCTGCAAATAATGAGGATTATCTGCTGATCTGCACATTCAACAAGGCTATGATGCTTTCAAAATGAGTGGCTGAGTGATCTTTTTGGTCTCAGCAAAAGTTGATACAATGAGACATGGTTAAGTCATGTATATTAACTATAAGAAAAATTAAATATAAGAAAAAAATGGATCGAATGCATGCCCTAATCTGCTAGCTACTGATGTCACATCAATGTGATACAACAGAACACGTTTGTGCTTGATGCATGAGAGTCAGCTCCTTTTACTGTCTCATGATGTAGCTTGAATTTGTACCCACTTTGGCAAAAGTGGATACAACAATTAATGCCTGTTTGAAAGTTGAATTTGGTACTGTCTTTTTGGCATATTATCATTATTTTCATTTTGCACCAGGGTTTCCCATTCTGGGAATTGAGTGGCAGAAGATGGAAAATCCAGATCTTCGGTTATCAATGGGAATGAAACCTGACCAGAAAGGTGTCCGTATAAGAAGAATTGACCCTACTGCACCAGAGTCTATGTTGTTGATGCCATCCGATGTACTCCTAAGCTTTGACGAGGTTGACATTGCCAATGATGGAACAGGTTGAAATGCTAATTGTGCTTGCTTCCATTTGCTCTTTGTAGTTAACTTATCTCACCGTAGCTTAGATATTAAACTTTAGTATTGAAATGCATAAAAAAATTATTACCTTATCACCCAAAAAAGTTGATCTGCTTGTAATTTTCCAACCTAAGTCCCTGTTTCTGCAAATAATAGGAAAAGCTTGGTTACTGGTTGCTAGATGTACTGTCAACTTACTGGTAATTCTTACTCCCTCCGTTCCTATATATGTGAACCTATTTCCTTTTTAGTTTGTGCCAAAAAGAATGACTCCTTTCCATATTTGGAAACAATTTACCTTTATGCAATGATTTATAACCATACAAAATATGTGCCTCATTTTACTTCACAAGTTCAAAAGTTTTCTATTTTTTCTTAAACTCCGTGCCCAATCAAATAGGTTCACATAAATTGAAACGGAGGGAGTATTTTTTTTTTCCTAATGTTATGTTTACGTTATCATCTCTTCTAAGCAGTAACAACATCCACGTTGACGGTCTGACTAAGTCTGATGCTGCATTAAGGAGCTAAGTTGCTCGGACACGCGTGCGGATCTAGAGATAGGATCCTTCGAGATGTAAATCTAAGATTCGGGGATACGGATCCTAGTACGGATACGGGTGCGGGGATCCAGCTAAAAATAATTCAAAAACATAAAATATAAAAATATCTCTAAATTATGAGAAATTGTGTGGAATACTTACGTATAGTTTGTAAAGTGTGGATTTCTTTTTTATTCTCAAGTTGTAGATAAGTAAAGGATTGATTTCCTAGATAAAGTGTGCTATTTTCTTCAAATTTACCCTAGTTTTGGTTCTGATTTCGGGAATCAAATTGTATCTCGTCTTGAATTTTTCCATCCGTCGTGGTCAAAGTACGCAAAATTGTTTGACCAGATCCGGTAGGGATCCCATACCCACACCTATATTAGTGTCGCGTTCACAAGGGTGCGGCAGCTAAATTGCCGTATCGGAGCAACTTAGTTAAGGAGACCTTCATATTAGATGAGGTATTTAAAGGAGAACTTGTCAGCTTTCATGGTATGTGTTTGCACTTCTTGGAATGTTTATCAGTTGTACAAATTTGATTTTCCAATGACGCAGTGAATATCTTACCTGACATTTGCAAGTATAATTTATGTCCTCTTTGATATGGTTTCAAATGGTTCAACCAATTTGGAAGAACAAATTTTGTCGGTCGGAGCTGCATGATATTTATTTATTGACTCTTTTTTTGATAAGCTTTATGTGCTGACACTCAAATAAAGTTAGATATGTTATCTTTAGGTTTTATCTTCTATTGACAGGTCACATGATTTCCTTTGATTATTTTCAGTTCCATTTCGGCATGGAGAGCGTATAGGTTTTAGTTATCTTGTATCCCAAAAATATTCCGGCGACAGTGCTGCAGTTAAAGTTCTTCGTCGTAATTCTGAGATATTGAATTTCAAGATCAAACTTGCAACTCAGATGAGGCTTGTTCCAGCTCACAACAAGGGGAGACCTCCATCGTATTATATTATAGCTGGATTTGTTTTTACCACTGTATCTGTTCCATATCTTCGTTCCGAGGTACCCAATTTGCTTTGCATATATGTCATTGTGCATAATTCATATCCCTCATTTCCTGTCAAGCTGCACAAATTTCATTCTAAGATCCATGTTACTTATTCTTGTGTATTAATTGTCATGATCAATGTTTGTGATAAAGATGAGTTTCCTTCAATTTCTTTGCCTGCAACCTTTGGTGTTTAGGTGGCATATTGCCACTTGTAGGGGATATCATGGGTATAGGGAGGTTTATTGTACCTTGTTGAGTTGGTTTGATGGCATCATGAGTATTCTTGGTGCTATTATCAGAGTTTATTGACGAGGAAGTAACATTATTACCTTCTAACTATTGGGAGACTAGGATTCAAATCCTAGGAGCGGGTGATTTATTCCCATCCTCTACTTGGTGGGTAGAATTACTGGCCCTGTGTTGATGGAGGATGGGAGAATGCAGGTACACGGTGGAATAGTCGAGGTGCGCATAAGTTTGTCTTGACACCACCATTATTTTAAAAAAAAATCTCTTAAGCTCATAAGTTGAATAATATTTCTGGAAATTCCCTAATTCCAATGTACAGCCCGTCAGAAGCAACCTCAGTAGAAAGCGACTCTTCCAGAGTCTCGTCCATCGTTTGCTTAGGCGAGAGTCCTTATCATATTATTGATTTCTGTTTTTTCGTTACTTTTTTTTTGGCTAATGCATAGATTCTATCTTTACCTTTTACACTACCAATATACAGAAAACAACATACTTTACATGGTCATTTGAGCCACTTTTTCCAGTGTTGTACTTAATGGTGATGCTTGGGGCGCACAAATTGCCTTATTTTTATTGCAATTGTTCTGTTTTCTAACTTATCCTATGCTCATAACCAGTATGGAAAGGATTACGAGTATGAAGCTCCTGTAAAGCTGTTGGACAAACTCTTGCATGAATTTCGACAATCACCCGATGAACAGATTGTTGTGGTTTCTCAGGTTATTCCTCTCTTTCCTAATTCATCCTTAAGAAGCTGCAGGATTATCATATTGAGTAGGATCTAATATTCTATCTGCTCTTTTGCTTTGTGAAAATTCTAAAGGTGCTTGTTGCTGACATTAACATCGGATATGAGGAAATAGTTAACACTCAGGTTGGTGGCAGATGACTCTAATATTGATATCATTGTTTCTTACTTGGGATGTCAAAATGAGACTTCCACTTACACCTTCTTCCTGTATCGGCTTTCTGGGCATGTTCTAGGTTCTTGCTTTTAATGGTAAGCCTGTGAAAAATTTGAAGAGCTTGGCAAGCATGGTAGAGAACTGCAATGATGAGTTTTTAAAGTTGGATTTGGAATATCAGCAGGTATACTCTTTCTGCTGCTCTAGGTTTTCTGAGAGATCTGCGACAAGATGTTGTAATCTAGTTTGTTTTGTGCAGGTGGTAGTCCTTCAGACAAAGACTGCAAAATCTGCGACATCAGACATCCTTACTACACATTGTATTCCTTCTGCCATGTCCGAGGATCTCAGGATGTAAATGATATGATTTCAGCTGGGATATATCAAAATTCCTCTTGCCAGCATGACAGTATTCATCTTTTCCTTTTCGTCCACCATCTTTATCTTTTCCTCAGTTTGGTTTCATAATTGATCTGTACCCAAGCTGGCGATTTTTGGTATGCTTGTATTTCACTACTAATGGATGGTAAATAAACCCGAGTTATTGGTGGTATCTAATAAAAGGGTCGGATACTCTCTTTTTTTTGTTGTTTCTTTTTTCTTTTTCGTCGTGGGGAGGGGTCATTTCTCGTTTGGTGCAGTTTGGTATTTGTACTTTTTAAAATTTTCGAATCATCTGCAATTTCTCCATTTCTACTTTTAATTTGTCTAACTGTTACACCTTTGTCTCAATTTTTGATGTCTTTGTTATAGCTCTTTCTAGAGGACTGTCGCACGTTGGCTCAGCTAGTGGATTCAAGGATTTTTGGCTTATGCACCTGTTTGTGCACAGATTGTGATCACATTCTCAGATGGAGCGGGAAAGAGACGCATTCCTTTTAATTGTTAAACCAACTTTGTGTTTCGAGATGGGCAGAGCTCTCTTTTGGGTGCTCAACCAATATTCGTGGCAGATGATTTCAATGTCAGGCTATAGTAGCTTGGCATCGAAATTATATGCAAAGATGCAGGGTGTATGCTTCCAATCAAGGGATGACAGTAATTTGACTTCCTGAGCTTGTCATGATTTCTATCCTCCTATTATATATAAGCACACAGAACATAACATTAATTGCGAGTATCATTCTTTACATCAGACTTATTCACCAGCCAAAAAGAATATTATACCAACTTCACCTCTTGGTTTAACTATGTATGATTCCGCTGACAATTACTGCATTTAATAAGAGTGAAGAATAGTTGTAACATAAATCATTTAACACACAACTTAGCTATAAATTAATCCTGTATTATCTCCAGTTTTGGGCTTAAGAACACTTATGGATCTAAAGAAAGTAAACCAAAAACTTTGTAGTCCATGAATAGTGGTAGCAAAATGGGGTTTTGACACAGTTCCCATAAAAACAAAACTATTTATCCTTGTCTATCCATATGTTTTTCTACCCATAAACTAATTACATTTCCTACCCATAGTAGTTTTTGTGGGAAATTTTTTCTTTATTCTCCAATTCTTTTTTATTTATATGCTTCTTTTTTTCTTTTTCTTTTCTTTTCTCCTTTTCTTTTTTCTCGTTTTCTTCTTATTTTTTTCTTTTTCCTTTTCTAATTTCATTTAACTTCTTTTTTTTATATTCCTTTTCTCTTCATAATCTAATTTCATTTACTGTTTTCACTATTTTTTATTATTCTTATTTTTATACAATAAAAAAATAATTGATATAGTAAATATTTATTCACCTTTTTTTAATATAACTAGTATAATATACCTTTTGTCTTTTTTTTTTTTCTTAATTCAATTATTAAACTGAAATAATATGAGTTGTCACTTCATCTAATTCACTGAATATCACACTGACTGCTACTAAGCACCATAAATTACATAATCAGATTCTAAGAATCAACACGTGATTGCCATGCAAACCTTGATCTCCTTCCCTACAAATATCAGTACACACTCTACCATTAGCAGTAACACAACCAGTTATGGAGCAAGAAAGCATAATCTACGACCACCAAATCTCTATATATACTAGTTAGAATATAAATGATAATAAAATATTAAAAAATACAATAAAAGTATAAGTAGCAAAAAGACTTGTAGTACCTACCATATGATACTAATATGGTATACATGTATACCAACAGAGTATATGATTGCTCTAGAATATTGCAACAATTATCTGAGACTATACTATTGTACCAAAACATTAAAAGATGCAATATAAGTATGAGAAAATTACATGCTCGCATTGCAAGCTAAATATTCGCAAAGCAACTTTCTCATTCTGTATACTAACAGGTATATAGTTGTATGGGGTCATTCCAACAATTTCCTATAACTATAAAAACTATTACATAATACACATAATCTATGTCTATCGGCATAAAACAATTCCAGTACTGCAAATCATGTTCATATAANAACATAGACTCATATTTTCAAAATTTAAGATGGGTTTCAGATATTTCGTTCCAGATTCGAAGTCAAGAGCAATAGCAAGAATTAAATTTTACTCAATTCTTAATTTCAACACTCGAGAACGAAGTGCATAACAAAGCACTCGACCAGATTTTTAGTTGTTGAAATTTTTGTATAATTAATTTAAATCTTTTAATTTTCTAATTTGAGTACTGAAAAAAATACTCACGCGCTCAAAATGTTGTTAGTAAACACGCATATGCCACATAAGCAACATGTGTTTACCTGACACACTTAGTAGCCTATTTGAATTATCTAAACGGTAAAGGGGCCAGTTAAAGTGTTTGTCTGATCGTTGCGTACAACTTAAAGAGGCCGTTTATGTATTTCGCCTTTTCTTCATGCTTTGTGGCCTAGCTACTAGGACTACAATTTCAGCCGTGCATACAAGTTTTATAAGTAGGCCTAGCATTGGATAAAGGGGTTTTGACACAGTTACCCACAAAAACAAAACTATTTACCCTTGTCTACCCATTTGTTTTTCTACCCATAAATAAATTATATTTCCTACCCATAGTAGTTTTTGTGGGAATTTTTTTTTTATTCTCCAATTCTTTTTTATTTATATGCTTCTTTTTTTTTCTCCTTTTCTTTTTTCTCGTTTTCTTCTTATTTTTTCCTTTTTTCCTTTTCTAATTTCATTTAACTTCTTTTTTTATATTCCTTTTCTCTTCATAATCTAATTTCATTTACTGTTTTCACTATTTTTTATTATTCTTTTTTTTATACAATAAAAAAATAACTGATTTAGTAAATATTTATTCACCTTTTTTTAAATATAACTAGTATAATATACCTTTTGTCTTTTTTTTTTTTTCTTAACTCAATTATTAAACTGAAATAATATGAGTTGTCATTTCATCTAATTCACTGAATATCACACTGACTGCTACTAAGCACCATAAATTNTATACCAATTAAATGCAGCTAATACAACCAAAAAATGATTCAACTAGCATATGATACCAATATGACATATAATTATACCAATAGGGTATATGGTTCTACTAGTTAATTCCAGGCAACTATATATGACTATACTACTATTACATAATACACATGCATAAAGAGAAAAATCAAAAAATAGTGCACCACATATTAATACAATAATGTCTTTCGAGATATTGTACTGTAATACTATTACATAAAACAAATGCATAAAGAAAAAATTAAAATGATTACATAATAAACATGCATAAAGGAAAATTTAAAAAATTTAAAATACTGTACTATTCTACTATTACTAAAGAAAAGTCAAATAGTGTACCAATTAAATATAACTAATACAACCAAAAAAGGTTCCAATTAACATATGATACCAGTATAGTATATAGATATATCAACATGATATACAGTTGTACGCGAAGAGTTTAAAAAAGATTTTTTAATTCTATTATTAAACTGAAATAATATCAGTTATCATATAATCTAATTAACTCATTTTTCTGCATCATAATCTAATATCAGTCAACTTGGAAAATCCTCTAAACCTAAATTGCCAACTTTCGGCAAAACAATACAAATCAACCTCCGAACCTCCGAATTCGACTCCGGGCAAATACTGTTCCAAGGTTATTTTCACAAAAATTAAACTTCGGTCAACATTTCCAACTTAGGCTTCTAAACCAAGAACCAAAGGGACCAAAATAACCCGAAACCTTTTCAGAACGAAAATAAACCTCGCAAGTTATAAAGCCAAAATTACACATGTGCAAAGCATCAAAAGGGGAAAGAAGGCGCAAATACATAAAATGATCAGTTGGGTCGTTACAAATGATGACTACCTATATAACCTTACAATTTTGTGGCAAACTAAAACCTTAAAAAATTTTATTCTTTTTTTGATAGATTTTTTTTGTTAGCCTTTTTTTTCCCCTGGGATGGATGATAAAGACATGAAAGGAAAGGTGGATAGATCATACATCTACTTAGAAAATATATGGATATTGGCAATGTCAAAAAGAGAAGAAAGAGAGAGAGGAAAAAAGGATAGGGGATGAAAGAAAAAGGGAGGAGAAAAGTTAGTTGCAGAAAAAACAAAAATAGGAAGATAGATGGCCGGGTTATTATTTTTGATTGCATAGGTATGTACTGTAATTATTTCTTGAATAGGTAAAGCCGGGTAATATTTTTGGGTAGAATAGGTATATAACATAATTTGCTCTAGCAAAACGGATAACAAAAAGAGTTATCCATATATTATCCTAAAAAAGGGTTGGATAATGAACATTTTAAAAGTGGGTCAAATATGGATAAGGTTCATATTATCCACTTAAAAAATGGATAACCAATGAGTTTGATTTTTACATTTGCAAAGACTCAAATTTGAGATTTCTTAAGTTTGGAAGACTAGGAATTCTCCAAAAGTGATCATATTTAAGAATTCATGGATGATATGGATATTCATATTATTTTGTTGGTTAATTCAGTTTTTTATCCATATTAAATATAGACCGGGTTGGATATTTTATCCGTTTTTGCATTGCACGTTTTCAATCCGTCCATATACTCGCCCGTTTGCCACCCCTATCCGTGATCAAGCTGAGGATGAGCTTCTTGCAGAGGAGACGATTTCTGGTAAACGTTGTGAATCTGTTACAAATAAGAGGCAAGTAGCTTCTTTTTCCTCGTACCACAATGTCGGGCTCATACACTAATCAAGGAGGAGATACTTGCTTAAGGTGTTTCTTTTTCTTATTATTTTTTGTCTTCTCTTGTGCTTTTTATCTTTTCGTTAATTTGCTCTCTCTTCTTTTTAAAAAAAAATGTTTTGGAGAATAGATGGTCCTTAAAATTCCAAATAAATATGGAGAAGAGTGGATTTGAATCTTGTATAACTTGGATGCAAAGTTAATTAAAACGTCAAGGTACAATTACAAGAGGGTCATTTGCACAAATGGCGTTTTAAAGGGGTTTTTTCCCCTTCCTATAAAACAACAACAACAACAACCCAGAAGAATCCCACTAGTGGGGTCTAGGGAGGGTAAAATGTAAGCAGACCATACTCCTACACAGAAGGAATAGAGAGGCTGTTTCCGGGAGACCCTCGGCTCAGAGACAATAGATCCGTAACCACAATAGAAACCAGAAAAATAGTATCAGCATCGTAAAATACAACAAATAAGTGGAAAGGCCAAAATGTGACAGACAGCAACAAAAAAAAAAGAAAGTGAAACACAACAATAACCGCTAGCAGTCCTAGACGAAACACTATCAGACTAGCCGGCGCAGTGAGGAGAAACGCTCGACTACCCCCTAACCTACAACCCTAATGCTCGACCTCCACACCTTCCTATCAAAGGCCATGTCCTCGAAAATTTGAAGCTGCGCCATATCCTGCTTGATCACCTCACCCCAGTACTTCTTAGGCCGCTTTCTACCTCTTCTCGTAACTGCCTGAGCCAAGCGCTCACACCTCCTAACCGGAGCACCTAGGCTCCTCCACCGCAATTTTAATTCTAACAATCGAGCAAGATAATTAATATTCATCTGCTGCTAACCCGCCATCGAAATGCCAACAAGAAAAGGGGAAACCCAGAAAAGATCCAAACTCCACCAATGACAAAATTCAGATTGATAAAAAAAATTCTCTTTCTTCGCCATTGTTAGAGAAAATTATGAGCTTTAGAAGAAAGAATCTTGTGGAATCGATGTAGAAAGATGGTTGATTTCAAAGAGAGAAATAGGAAACAAAGTATTATGATTGGGGGATTTACTAAATTAAAAGGCTA